TGGAATGAGCTAATTCAAGAAAACAACCAGACATACAATTTTGGATTAGACTAATAGTCGACAGGGGGGCGGAGGGGGGGACCTCCCCTCTAAAATGAACTTAAAACGAATGGCAAGAAGCGCAGGTGAGAACTGACGAAACTATTATCCAAACATGTACGACGGGTCTAGAAATCGCTCAAAACCCTGACTGTTCTTTCCATCTCACAAAAAGTAAACGGGGAGAGGGTTGTCCAATGATACGGCCATTTCGAATTAATTGTGGTAGTGCCCTCAACAAATTAGGATGCTCACCTAAATGTTGCGGTACTTACCCCAACTTGAGTTGCGGTAATACCTTAATTAATTGGAAATGCCCGTTTCATGCAACAAATTGGGGTAGTCCCTCAATTTTGCTGCCCACAGCAAACACGCCTCGACTCCATTACACATTTTTCATTTTCTTCCGCACATACTTCTCTAATACGAGAAAATCCAAGTGTGACAAGGCTGTATTTTTTTTAAAATTTTGAGTTCCTATAGGTATGACAAAATTGACTCGAAAAAATGGAGCATGAGTATTCGTTAGTTTTCCTCTAAAACAGTATTTTGTCAGTACAAAATCGGATAATGTCGAATGGTGGTATGGAGTTTTTACTTCGGACGGCAGAATTTCAGGGGGTACATCCTTTCTTTTTTTTAAAAAAAAAAATGTAGAGCATTCCGAATTGAGAAAGCAGTCGCGGAAAATTTCGCTTTCCAGCAAGGCGAGGGGTGGATGAAGGATGAATATTTGCTAGTTTTGCCGTAAAATAGTATTTCGTCAGAAAAAAATCGAAAAAATGTCGAATAGTGGTATAGCACTTGTACTTGGGAGGGCGAAATTTTAGGGGGTATATCCATTCTTGTTTTTTTAAAAAAAAAAAATGCAAAGCATTCCGAATCGAATAGAGCAATCGCGGAAAATTTCGCTTTCCAGCAGGGCGAGGGGTTGATGAAGGATGAATATTTGCCAGTTTTGTTGTAAAATGGTTTTTCGCCTGAAAAAAAATGGAAAAAATGTAGAATGGTGACATAGCGTTTTTACTTTGGCGGGTAGAATTTTAGGGAGTACATCCTTCCTTTTTTTTTTTTTTTTTAAAAAAAAAAAAAAAAAAAAAAAAAAAAAAAAATTCAAAACATTCCGAATCCAGCAGAGCAGTTGCGGAAAATGTCGCTTCCCGGTCGTGCTAGGGGTGGAAACAATGGAGACACGCGGAAAACTCACCCCTTTCGGAGAGGGTCCGAGCACACGCGTCGCAGTCGAGGGAGCAAGTCATACCGATGTCCAGGCACAGCATCACCGACAAGGCACACCGAAAACACTGAGGGACGCTCGACGCTCGGCGCTCACCGACCGACGCCAACCCAGGGCCGAAGGGATGCCAGCTCTCGCATCCCCCGACCCCATCCCAACCCCTCCCGATCCGAGACGTTTGTCGGATCCCTATCGACCTCTGCGTTTCTTCCGAGGATCCCAAGCCCCCCGTCAATTGCCCCCCGACGAAAGGGGGGGGGGCTCCGATACGTTCTTATCCTCGATTTATTCCCGAGTAATGCCCCTCGAATCGTCTCGAAACTCCGGCACTGTCGCCGGCGTCATAAATGTACGGCCTGGGCCGGGGATTTAATCCCGGGATCAGAGAACGACCCCTTGCCCTTTGCGAAAGGATGTGTCGAACCTTGGGTTTTTCGACGGGAGCTACCTGGTAGATAAGTTTCGGCGTAACGGAATGGACTGTAAGGGCAGGATGGCATGAGACGTAAGAAAGAAATGAAAGATTGAAATTTTCAGTGAAATATTTCATGAAATTTCACACTTCAAAAAAATTCTCGGCGTTTTTACCAAGGTCCGTTGATATCTTTACCATCTCCTTTGTTTCACCATTTATTGGTAATTTTACCAAGACAGACTGGTAAGCTTACCTAAAAACCGGTATTTTTATTGTTTTTTCAGGTAAGAATACCACTTTTATTGGTAATCAATTCCCGGTAACTTTGCCATTTTATCTCGGTAATTCTACCACAGTCGATAAAAAATATTGGCGTTTTTACCAAGGTCCAGTAAAATTACCGAGAAAGTTCAATATAATTTTACCGAAATTTCTCGGTAAAATTACCAATTCCATAAATGGTAATTTTACCAAGAAAAACTGGGATCACATAGAACCCCGAATTCTTGGTGATTTTACCCTTTTCTTAGTAAATACAGCGATATTTTTTTTCAGTGTGTCGTGCCGTGGGTTTTTCGATGGTTGCTTCCAGGTAGATAAGTTTCGGCGTAACGGAATGGACTCTACGTGCCGCATCCGTAAAATTGACAAAAAGTATCGTGGATCTAAACCGCCGTACTAAGGTAGAACGCCGTTTGAGCCTTCATACGTTGAAATATTTCCTTCAATAAATAACGATTTACCAGGAATATTTTGAATATTTTTCTTCAGATTTTTCGGACGCTATTATTCACAATTTTATCTAAAACATCTGAAAATTTTAAGGGAAATTATGCGTAACTTTAGAATAATCCATGCACGGTGTGCAAACATTTCAAAATCATGAGCTGAAAAATGCTGACTCCACGAGTTTAAATATTAGTACCAAACAGAAGCGGCTAGGCGTGCTGCCAGCGCGTAACGCGCACAGGCCCCTACAAACCTAAGGGGATACCTCACGCATTGCGCAATGCTTGAAGTATCCACTTAGGTTTGTAGGCGCTGTCCGCCCGCCGCAGCGTACCACGGCGCCTTAAGCAACTATTTTACAACAGAAATGTTGCACAGTATCACGCGAAATTGAAGGCGCTCCAACGTATTAAGAATGGCAGGCATCCTTTATGATTTTTGCAAAATAAATTATGATATTACAAGAGGAGAGTCCAAAAACTCATCAAGTTCTAGTATCCGTATTTAATAACGTTTAACATAATTTTTAAATTTCATTAGAGAAAAAAGTGAATCAATTAGGCAGAGACATTCTTGAGAATGCCATTAAGAAGATTTTATTTTGAAACAAGAATGAAATAGCTCAATGAAAGCGAGCTTTTGCTTGATGTAAGTGATATGAATATTTACTAGCGGACCAATTAACTTTGGTTCTCAATTAGTACGTGGACCAAAACTCCTCTGCCGGAAAAACGCGGGGACATAGACTACTAGAAAAAACAGACCCAAGGACAAAAAATTGTTGTTGAAATGTCTGTAACCATTTTGTTCGCAATTTAATCTAAAATATCTGAAAATTTTAAGGGAAATTATGCGTAACTTTCCACAAAAATAAACGTTTTATCGAGGAAAATTTGGCAACTCTAGAATGTTCATACGGCGTTTTTCCTTTGCACGGCAGTATAGACGATGTTGTTAACCAATTGGTCTTTATCGCCCAACTGATGTTCGGCTTGACCTCAAATAATTATCAATGGAGTATTTGCAGGTGTCTGAAATTTGATGAATTTGATGTTTAAGATGAAACTACTAAGGGAACTAAGCACGAAAATATCCTTGGGATCTAAACTGACTGATTGGAGGAGATATGACCCCTTGCCTTTTACGAAAGGATGTGTCGTTCCTTGGGTTTTTCGATGGGAGCTACCGGGTCGATAAGTTTCGGCGTAACGGAATGAACTGTAAGAGCAGGATGGCATGAAACGTAAAAAAGAAATGAAATATTGAAATTTTCAGTGAAATATTTCATGTTTTTCAGGGGCTAGAATATACAACCCGCGCTCAAACACCTAAAAATAGAAGATGATCACAATTTTTACATTTTGCGAAATATGAAAAGGAACCGGTATTTTTCAATATCTTTCATAAATTTCCGAAATTTCATGAAATATTTCAAGATGTTGTTTTTCATGAAATTTTGCCACCCTGTGTAAGGGCCGCATCCATATACTGGAATAAAGTCTCTTGCAACCGGACTGTCGTGCAAAAGAATGCCGTGTGAGCTTTTAGACGTTTCAATATTTTCTTCAATAAAAAATGAATTTACCAGAAATATGTTTGATTTTTTTCTCCAAAATTTTGAGACAATTTTGCTCGCAATTCGATACAAAATATTTGAAAAATTTGCATAACTCTTCCCGAAAATTCACGTTTCTTCTGGAGAAATTTGGCAACTGTTGAGTGTTAATGCGACTTTCTCCCTTAGCACGGAAGTAAAGTCCACGCTTTTCAAAAATTCGATGGGAAAAATACTCTTAATTCGATCAGATTTGTGCTTTAAGCTAACGGACATATGCTTAAATTGGACTCTCTATTAAATATAACTGTCGACGAGTGGGAAAGATAGAAAGTGCTCCAGAAAGCTACACATGAAACAATGTAAAAGTGGGCGTGATTCCCCTTGGAGAATTGGAAAAACAGGATTTTCCATTCAATCAAAGTAGCATATTCAAGCAAAAATCCGATCGAATCAAGATAATTTTTTTCTTGTTAATTTTTTTAAGAGTCTGGACTCAGGATCCAAGAGACTTTTTTTCAAGCGAGTTGCTCTTTGAACAATTTCATTCCTCGGAGGACCCCATACGGTGATTAAGGGCAGAAGTCGTGGAAATATGCGCTCTCTTCTGATTAGAGCCGAATAACATCATTCGGTTTGGCACGAAATTGAGACGTTCACTGAAAAAACAGTATGCTAGTTTAGCACCTAGGATGTCGAAAATGTGTCTGGTGATCCCAAGATGCTGCCTTGATTGCTCACGCAGTTGAATAATCACAGGATGTAAACTTAACTGCAGGGGCAGTAAAGGCAGCATCATGGGATCACCAGACATATTTTTGACATCCCTGGGGCTAAAACAGCACGTCATTTTTTCGGTGTTTTTTTGCGGAGACATTGCGCTTTTGAACAGTGTATTTCTCAGTTTCTGAGTTACTTTTTGGCGTTTTTAATTTGTGCATCGTGGTCTGCGCGTCATTTACATTTGGAAACATGTATTCGCAAGACAAAATTCGTTCATGGTTTATTAATGGATTCGTACTTACGTCTGGGTTCCACAAGCATAGGATACTCAGTCTCGTCTAAGTAGAACGGACCCTGCCGCGTGACGATCTCATGGACGATTATTGCGAAGGAGTAGACATCTCCCTTTTGCGTGCCCTCTGGTGGTGGATTCGGCAATCTCAGCAGCTCTGGAGCCGTCCACACGAATCCTGTGAACAAAAAGCTCCTGTTACGTTCCTGGTCTTCGTAGGTTGACACTGGATTGGATCAATTGGAAAATTTGTGGATTGAAATGGGAAAAGAGAAAATGAGGAAAGCAGAAGAGAGAACGGAAAGAGGAGGTAAGGAAGAAGAGAGGGTGGAAGGAAAAAAGAAGACATATATGAGGAAAAGAGGAAGAGGAAGAAGAGGAAGCAGAGTGAGGAAAAAGACGAAGGATAAAGGAAAAAGAAGAAGAGAAAGAAGAAAACAAAAGACGAGAGAAAAATTAGAAAAAATAACTAATTGGTTGTAATTAAGAGTATGAATAACGGTGAAGTAGGAAACCAAGAAAAGGAAGGTGAGAAAAACGAGATGAGGAAGGCAAGGGAATAAATATTTGCATAAAACTAAAACATAATGACAAACCTTGGACTTGCGCGCACCTACCTTTTGTTTTAAGACAAAATGATCCTAAAATATCAGTTCCTTATATTGAATAATATATTCATATTGTTTCTCTGTAAAATATATTCCCGGTAATCTTAAAAAAAATCCACCAATATTGAAGACAATTCGATATACATTCCCTCAAATTGTTTCGATACGTTTTCCTGCAAATTAAAAATTTCGCCGAATGTTATTTTTCCAATATCCAAATGTTTGTTTGATTCCATTCAAAACTTACAAATTGGCACAATGGGTCACAATTAGAAAATTACGCGCTACAGTATATCGTTCTTCATCAAAATTTTACGCAGAATACGGTCTAGACAGCACTTGAGCGAAGTTTAACTCATAAGAGCGAAACAAGCGTCTCCTGGAATCGTCGATTCAAACTTCTGCCCATTCAAAAAACTGGAGTCTGCTTGAGTCAAGTCGGTCATGAAATCCATAAATTAATAGTTATAATCTCGTGTTAGGTTAGGGAAACGTGTTACGTGACGCACTTTTCCCGATTTTTACCTCCCTCCCTTGTGACACACTCGTAAAGCAACCCTACGCCCTCCCTTTTGAATAACGTACTACTGGCCTTAACCCCCTCCCCTTCATTTTCAAAAAATCAAGAAAGGGGAAGGCGTGATTTTTAATTTTTTTTACAGGTTTTGTAATTTTTTTCTTCCGGCTCGGAATTGTTACGTAACGCTGGGCTTGCTCCCCCTCCCTCCCAAGTGCGTTACGAAATACTTGGGCGGCCCCTTAGATAACACGTGATTTTTAGGTTAAATTTTTCGTGTAAATATTAGTGAACCTTTTAAGGACCAAAACTTTTCTTAAACATTTTAAATATGTCGTGTGTTAAAGGAGGATGGACTTTTTCATGAAGAGAAATTCTAAATTCTAGCTATTCCTTGTAGCTTATCATTTGTTTTTTTTTTCCTAGCACGCAGCACTAGTCACACGAGTCGTGTCATTGATCATAACTCCGAGATACAACTAAACGTGCTCGGTGGATGTCCGTGTTGCATATACGAAAAACTGACGGCGCTTTGAGTTATGTGATATTCACAGCATAATACAATACCCCGTGTAATCATTAGGTTTTCCAGTTGCCTTTTATAAGTTGTTCCTCCTGCCACGACGAACAAATTTGGATTCAATTTCTTTTAGTAGCCACAACAATCTAACCCTCAAATATTATTTTGGTGTGCAAAAGTGTTATTCAACCGAGAAGTACCACCTTGCACGCAAACGGGTGTGAAGGAAATATAAGCCGATAAACGATCACGAGCAATTTAATCTGTGATTTCAACAATTTTTTCCAAGTGGAATGTTACAATTCACTGATTTTCATTCAGAATTTGAACATAAATTTCTCAGTTGGAAGTTGATTTTGGATATTTAAAATACGTTCATGGCGTTTGTCTGGAAATTTCGATGAGAAAGCATGACATGTGATGCTTTATTTTAAGACCGTCTAGTGGTCCCTTTATCTGCGATGCTTACTACTTATCTGTGCAACAATTTCCGACTTCCACAGTTAATATTCCAGTTCCGGAAATCCTTGATCACAATCAAATGGAGGAACAGTAGACAAGGCCTCTCAGTGAAGAGAAACTTCCTCTAAGAGGTTCAAGAACATTCTTTTGTCATGGGAACGGAGTTCCCCATGATATTAGAATCGTTCCGTTGCTTTCCCTATGGGATTCCCTATACCTCTGCGACCTTGAGCGTTTCGCCCAGTCTCCGATTTTTGGTTGATTTTCCGATGTATCAAAAACCGTTGTATTTTTTAGCCAATCATGTCTCTACGTCAAGTTGTGTTGATTGCTAAAATTCGCTTTCAGCGAGTTTTTTTCCACCTTGAGATGTCGTTTCTGACTGGTAAATCTGCGCAGAACCACGAAGTTCCGTTTTTAGGCAAATTCTTTTTTTTGGGAGGTTCTGATTGGTTATTTTTCGCCATCAGTTTTCTGTTCGTTGGTGCAAAAGATCGCCTACCTCGTTGCTCTTGAGAAGCCGCCATTATCCCACCTCAAATTTTAAACATAGATATAAAGAAATAATAACCATCGTACAAGGTGGAAAATTGCTCTGGAGGACCCGTTACGGATATATGAGCCAAAATCAGAACTCGATTGATGGATTTAATCCATGAATACAGAAATATTGCCTGAGCTTACTGCCGCGATCGCAAATGCCTGTTGATATGAACCTCGTGACACATGACAGCATAGGTAAACAATGTCTCACAGAGTAATGCGGTTGATCCGTTGTGTCTTATCACGCCACTGGCCGAACCGTTGAAATCTCAAGGACGTCTTTTGTGAAGCCCCGCTCAGCGTCCGAGATCACTTAAGTGTTCTCTTTTTCTCCAAGCATATCTGAGCAGCGAAATAGCTCAAATGGCTGCGTTACCTTTCTGCCTCTGGAAGAGTGAGACTTTTTGTGCGAGCGGGGGTTCGAATCTCGTAGGGGACAGCTAATTTTTACTGGTTGTATTGAATGTTTTAGACCAATAATCTAACAATAATTAATACTTGGCAACTTAGGAAGCACATAGGTCCCTTATGATGCGTATTTGGGCATATGTGTAGAGTAAAAATATCATACGTAGGGTGTCCCAAAAGTACCGGGACTGGTTCTGTAACTTCAAAAGTAAGATAGATGCAGACATGATTTTGGTCTCATTTTAAAGATCAACTCAATACCTATCGATTAAAACCAAGATCAGCTCAATCAAATAAAAATTGACCGAGTTATGACAATTTGAAATTAGTGAGGAAAGTTTACCCCTACGGTTTTTAGGAAGATTTTTCGCTTACCAGGATTCAAAAAGTTAATATTCGTATCCACTTTCCTCCGAATCTTCCATAACTTCCTTTTGCTTTTCAAAGTACCGTCCATCAAACCGGATGCACTTTTTCATGCGCTCTTGCCACTTATCCAACATTGTTTTCCTGAATTCTTCCTCTGGGATGGAGTTGAAGAAGTTTTGAATTGCATTCTGGATTTTTGTCTTCGATACGAATCTTCGTCCGCGAAGCTCCTTTTTAAGCGCAGGAAACATCCAAAAATCACATGGAGCCAAGTCAGGACTATAAGGGGGATGAGGGATTGTTTCAACTCCATTTTTACTCATAAATTCACGTGTTAAGCTCGATGTGTGAGGCCGCGCATTGTCTTGATGGAGTATCCACGAAGCTTTCAAGTCCGACCGTTTCCGGGAAATGTGCATTCTCAACTCCTTTAGTACTTTGCAATAATACGCACTGTCAACTGTTGTGTTTGATGGTACAAAATGTTGATAAATGACACCTCGAAAATAAAAAAACACAATAAGCATCACTTTATCGGCCGACTTTTCGATTTACGGCGATGAAGAATCTTCCTTAAAAACCGTAGGCGTAAACTTTCCTCGCTGATTTCAAATTGCCATAACTCTGTCAATTTTTATCCGATTGAGCTGATCTTGGTTTTAATCGATAGGTATTGAGTTGATCTTTAAAATGAAATCAAGATCATGTCTGTATCTATCTTACTTTCGAAGTTACAGAACAAGTCCCGGTGCTTTTGGGACACCTTATGTACACTTTACGCCGAAAAAGCGAACCTGAAACTTAAATGCGTTAACTTCCGAAAACCATATATAATCCAACGAAAATAAATAATTGGTACATAACAGCTTTCTTGTATGCAAAGAAAATAATTAAAAATGTTAAAAAAGAGATGTCAACACAAAATTACATAGCCCCTTCAATTCAGAAGACACTAAAAACGAACTGTACCTTAACATTTTCATATCCCAGAAGCTAACGTTCCCATGACGAATATTGCTATCGCTAGCGATTGCAAAATCCAACTTGTTCATAATTATTTTCATGGAACGATTTTGCGAGCAGCCTGTTGAACCCCCCACGTGCGGAAGAGTAGCCTGACGTGCTAAGGCAAAACGCCGTATGAGCATTAGAATGTTGCCAAATTGCCTATAAGAAAATAGTTATTTTTGAAGGAAATTATGAATATTTTTCCTTGAAATTTTCCAACACATTAAATCACAAAGAAAATCCTCTGAAATTTCGGAAGAAAAATATTTACAAATTTGTCCGGAAATTCGTGATTATTTTCTTAGAGATTTGGCAAAGGCTAAAGGCTCATAAGACGTTTTTCCTTAGCACGGAGGAGTAGCAGGGTTTGATCTTCAATCGAAAATGCATTCGTGTGTATGATTCCAGGAAGCCACATCTGTCAATTCACATGAGTCCTTCTGTGCTTGAAATGAACTTTGTAGGAGCATCAAAAATTGCCAAATTTCCTTTGAAAAAAAAAAAAAAACACTAATTACGAGGGTCATTCAAAAAGTAAGGTTCCTTACCTTGTATCATCCGAACGAAAAGAGATAAATCAAATCAGGAAAAAAATCTTATAAGGCATACTCTAAGCTATAAAACAAGCTCAAGTTTGTAAATATCGGTCAAGGAGTTCAATTGAAATGTAGTTTTCTCGCGAACCCCTTGATCCATTTTCAAAAACTTGGGCTTGTTTTAAAGCGTAAAGTATGTCTAATAAGATATTTCTTACTGATTTGATTAATCTCTTTTTAATTGGAAGATAAAAGGTAGGAAACCTCCCTTTTTTGATGACCCTCGTAGTTTGAAGAACTAACATTTTTTTCTTCGTATTTGTCGACAGATTTTATCCACAATTTAGTCCCACGCATTTCAAAATAATAGAACGTTACAGAAATGTGCATAAACACCTAAACGAGATCTATTTGACGGTCACGGTGTAGGTAAATTTAAACAAATTATCGATGACTCCCAATAAATTTTTCTCATAAGCACATCCAGCTTAATGGACTGTACTTTAAAAGCAAAAGGAAGTCATGGAAGATTCGGAGGAAAGCGGAAACGGAAATTAACTTTTTGAATCATGGTAAGCGAAAAATCTTCCTTAAAAACCGTAGGGGTAAACTTTACTCAATATATCTAAATTATCATAACTCGGTCAATTTTTATTCGATTGAGCTGATCTTGGTTTTAATCAATAGGTATTGAGTTGATCTTTAAAATGAAACCAAGATCATGTAGTTCTATCGTAGTTTTGAAGTTACAGAACCAGTCCGGGTGCTTTTGGGACAGCCTATGTAATACTATTACCTTACTTTTTAACAACGAGTTTCACATCGCAGGCCTCCATTACGAAGGTTTTCGATGTTCCACGGACCTATCTAGGAACTTCGGTTCGGCTTAACATCAAGGCGATCCCCGGAATCCTTTTGACAAATTAGTCCCTAATTGAAGTGTCTCCGACGGAAGGGGTCGGAATTTCGCTTGTGCGCAAGCTGTTTGATATTATCAAGTTGATAAGCACGTCACATCGCGAAAATTAGTCAAATTCGATCGTCTCATTTGACAATCCCCAAGCTTGCGCCGCTAAAATTGGGGGTGGATTATTTAGATTTGGGTATGAATGATTTAAAATATTATTATGGTATAATGGTATATGTATGGTATTTTGGTGGCGAGGTATCATAAATAGATTTTAATCAAATGAGCTTCATAAAACTTTTACTTACTGCGCCAGTAAGCGTAAGTATCTTTGTCTTCTGAGCAGTTGCTATCGCTTGCCCTCAGACTCCTGAGACCAAAATCGGCAATTTTTAGGACGAATCGACTGTCGACGACACAATTTGATGACTTGAGCCCACCATGAGATTTGATCTCGCTGGCGTGCAGGTAGCTCATACCCTGAAAAGAAAATAAATAATAATTTAAATTGTTAATATTGATGATGTAACTATTTCATTTAGGCTTTCGGTGACAATCATCACGAGTTACGATTAATATAATTAGGACATTATGCGAACAATCGTACAACCAAAGTGGTATTACTAAATACCATTCATTAATTTCCAGGCTTTTGGGACAATTTTAGAATGAATAACAAAGCTGTTCCTGGCTAGGAAGCAAGGAATTTTCAAAATTTACAACTTCGTTTTATGTTTGATACGAGAATCTCGTTTGAATCCTCTAACAAATAAAAGCCTTTATTTTGTCTCTATTAAACGGAGCACCGCTGGCTTGAGCACCGGAAACCTATAGAATAGAATACATAAAGCGTTGATAACCATGGTCTCATTTTCATGATTAGAATTTTGTTTTCTTTTATTTTAACAAGAGTTGAATGAAAACATGGTTAAATTATCGCTCTATTTTCAGAATTGAATACAGGCACCCAACTATAAATAGTTATATATTTATGAACGCCAACATGTTTATTCTCTTGAAAGAATCGACCGGTATGAAGAATTTAGACCTGAAAAGATTTTATTTTAATTCGACTTACCTTGACGATATCGTGCATGAGACTGTATTTAAAAATAGGTTCTAATTTGAATTCTTCGTTTTCTAAAATATCCTGCAGAGATCCTTTGGGGCAGTATTCTGTGAGCAAGCACGGCTCTGGAGGATCCACACATGCCCCATAAAATCGGACTAAGTGGTCGTGGTGCAAGTCTTTTAACTGGAAACAATCAGAAAACAAAAACACAAAAAGAATGAAAATCTTTTGAGTAAATTTCGGCATCAGGAGGTAGATATTTGACAGATTTAAACGCATTGAAGGCTATTCATGGTATTCTCCCAAAAATTGAAAAAGTAGGATTTTGAGCAAAGTCACCATACAATTTTCTTATTTTCAACTTCTGATTTGAGTTCTGATCAAACTTTGTTTAAGGTGATTCGATTGACGCCATATTTTGCGTCAGATCGGCATGCGATATATCGTATCAATTGGTTCCATTTTTTCAGCTACTCGTCATTTTTCTCCAATTTTGAGATCGCAATTCTGTTGTCAGGAGACTAAAGCACTCACTTACCAATTTTAACAAAGAAATTCAACGTTATAAAGGCGTGGTTTTTTTTAGAATGAAAACATCGCATTTGATATTGATATCGAAACTGCACTCAAATGCGATATTTTCTCTCTAAAGAAACCACGCCTTTATTACGTTGAATTTCTTTGTTAAAATTGGTAAGTGAGTGCTTTAGTCTCCTGACAACAGAATTGCGATCTCAAAATTGGAGAAAATTGACGAGTAGCTGAAACAATGGAACCAATTGATGCGATATATCGCATGCCGTTCTGACACAAAATATGGCGTCCATCGAATCACCCTAAATATTAGAGCTAAAAACAGAGCAGCGTGCTGCCAGCGCGTGTTACTCGATGACGCCTACAAACCTAACAGGGATACTACACGGCGCTGGCCCCTCGCTCGCCGAGCCGCAGCGTGCCACGGCGCCTCATGCAGCTATTTTGCAACAGAGGTGTTGCACATTATCATGCAAAATTGAAGGTCCTCCAACATATTAAGAATGACAGGTATTCTTTAAAAGTATTGAGCTTTCCTCGCAAGATAAATCACGTTACTACGGCACAAAAAGAGATCAGCAGTCCAAAAAATCGCTAAGTCCTAGCATCTATATTTAATGGCGTTCAGCATAATTTGTGAATTCACTGGAGAGAAAAGTGACTCGATATAGGCAGTTACATTCTTGAGTATGCCGTCAAGAAGATTTTATTTTGAAAGAAAAATGAAGTAGCCGATGCTCTCTCCTAAAAACTTGATTCAATCCTGTTTCTAAATCCACCCCATTCTTGATTACCCCTAGATTCTCTCTGGAGGTTTGTAAGTCCATTTGTACCTCTGTAAAACGAAGGGTATACTACCACCGTGCTAAAGAAAAACGCCACATGATCATTCAAGCATTGCCAAATTTCTCCCGATAAAACATGTATTTTTGAGGAAAGTTATGCATATGTTTCCTTGAAATTTTCAGACACTTCAGATCAAATTCCGGACAAAATTCTCTGAAAAAATCGAGGAAAAATACTTAAAGACTTTTCGGAAAATTCGTCATTTGTCGAAGGGAATTTAGCAACGTCTGAAGGCTCATACGGCTTTCTTCGTTAGCACGGCAAACTATGCTGCCGTGCTAAAAGGAAGAACGCCAAATGAAGATTCGAGATTTGCCAAATTTCCCCCGATAAAACTTTTATTTTTAAGAACTATTATACGAATTTTTCCTTGAAATTTTCAGACATTTTATACAAAACTGCGAACAAAATTATCTAAAAAAAAATTAAAGAAAAACATTCACAATTTTCCCAGTAAATTAGTTGTTTATTGAAGGAAATTTGGCAACGTCTGGAGGCTCATACGGCTTTCTTCCTCGTACGGCAGACTAAAACTTTTGCTTTTACGGCGTCTACTTTGATAATACTTAAGCCGGGAGGAGTAGGCTTAAGTGGACACTGAACTTGAGGCTGGAGGAAAAAGGCAACACACGACGATAAAGCCCGACATTCGGTGGCCGCTGGTCGCACAAGTTGAAAAATAATTCCGGCAATTTCGGGAAAGAACTCTTCGCGCGGTCGATTGAGCCGAGGGGTAGCTCCCTGCAGTTGTCGTTTTGTGCGGAGTTAATCGAGTTTGTTGGGCAATGTGCCCATCTACCCCTCTCATATCGCAATCTGGTGTGACGTAATGTCGTCATAAACTTTTCCGGTTCATCAGCCGTGACGTCATGGAATTTCACACATTCCTGTTATTCCTGAAGTTTGAAGTATGCTAAAAAGAACCATGTTACACGCAAACTCTACAAATGCACATAGGTTCTTTTAGCATTAACACGTCCACATGGTTCTTGGCTGAGCCAAAATTCACCGGAGTTTCGAGAAATGATACTCAAACTTTAAAATAACGCACCTGTTCAAAGATTTAGAGGAAACACCACGGGGATTAATATTCTGATTATGGAACCATTTACACTTTTAAATATAATATAGAAGCGAGAATAAATCGAATTGCGAATTCGAAATTTGACGTTTCAAACCTTCTGGAACCATACGAGGGTGCCATTAACTTTAAAAGTACCTAAAACGTTTTCAGAAGAGCGAGCGCGTATTTTAACACTGGTTTAACTACCCATCCGTGGCATTGTACATTGTCAAATTTCAACTAATTTTTGCAAAACAAGATTGTGTGCGGATGAATCAAATCAAATGATAGGCAATATCAGCGTAAATTTGCTTGAAATGTTAAAAAAGTCAAAGCACCCACGAGCACGTCAAATTAAACACTAGATTTAACGTGCGCAAGAGAGTCTTAACTTTTTTAAAATGTTTAGAAAATTCGTGTGCGGGGATGCCTGATATTTTCATTCATTTAGAAAATGTGCTCATTTTGGGGCCCTCTTTTGTTTTACTTGCTAAAGGACAGTTACTTTCAACATGAATACGCCCCTTTTGAGACGGACAAACATGAAGGGAGAAAACAGAATCTTTCGGTGATCAAAAGCAAACATGCATAACTGATAAGTATGATCGAACATTACAAAACAATTTAAAAAGCGGTTAACAAGGCTAAAAGTTCAGAAACAAGATCAAAACGTTTCGAGATCGACGTTTTCAAGAGTCTGGACTCTAGATCCAATGTGTTTTTTTTCCAGTGTTTATAATGATCAATCCTCATTAAAATTGATGTTTCAATTTTTTCAAAATAATCTATCTGATAATTAAAATTAAGAATGAGCGGCCATTTACGCAAAAACGACCTAAATTCACACAGTAAAACTATTCTGTCAAGTAATTTCTATCGGGTTGGGTGGGTCAAAAGTTGCATTTCGAGATCAGACGAAGAGTTGTTCGTCGCACGACGTTCTAGGGCGCGTATATAGCGACAAAGCGACTCCTATTGTACCTATTCTCTCTGGATGTGGGTAATATCACTGGCTCCGCTCGACAAACTTCAAGAAAACAAACGCATGAATCATGCAAACTTACTCTTTTGAGCTCCAGCAGCAGAGGTCTGGTCAGTTCGATCCTCCGCTGACACAGTTTTTTCACAGCCACGCGGTTACCCTGGAACAAAAATCGCAATCAGCATCAGGCGGCACCGTTGCATGGTCGAACAAAAACTCTCATTTATTCGATTCAAAACCCTTCATTTTCCGCCCGATACGGCAACGGCTCGCGGGATGAAATAAGCAATAAGAAATGAGCAATACCTCAATGCAACAACTGTCAGTTTCAGCTCGCGGACTGACCTTCTGTCCGAGGGTTTCTGTTCCGCCGTTATTTACCTTATCCCTGCCGCTGCTGCCACACTTAGGAATGGATTCCTTTCTATTTGTTTTTGTTCATTTTTAGTGAAGAATTCCTGATTTTTCTGCAAAGTGGCATCGATGGTCTCTGTGTTCGGACTGTCTTGCTTTTTTACTTTTTTCCGTGGACAGTTTTCGAGAAGCGTGTCAGTCACAGGAAAAAAAGTTACAGGACCACAGGACTGACTTCTGTGCGATTTTGTGTTTTGTTTACAGAACGATTAACTTGTGCGACGTAACGTTAAGACGAAAAATATCACACTTTGTGCAATTTACGCGCATTAGGTGACCACTCTCATTGAAAATTAGGGTGCATCAGTTGATCTTGTAAATCAAAATTGTTACAATCGCTATATTATATTTATTTCAATCTACACCATGTTGAATCAAATGAGAGAGAGAGAAAAAAAAAAAAAAAAAAAAAAAAAAAAAAAACACTAAGCGGATCGAACTGTATGTAACAAGGTGGAGAAATGGTATTCTGGATCCACGCCATTTCGTAAGGAAAACAAAGTCAAGAAGTTGTTTAAATATCAATTAGAGCCGAACAAAAATGTTGAATCCAATTGAAGTTATTGTTTTCGTTTTGACCGCTTAATTTCCTCAGTTTTAATTGCAGTTTTAATTGGAATTGGCAGATAGATCGATAAATTGCAAAGCATGCCACAACACTGAAAATGGGTCCATAATTACCTTGTAAACGGCAGTTGTCGCAAATTCTTGACGGCCGGACTCAAAGACACTCATGGCATCCTCAGAGATTTCCGACTGTAACAAAAAAAAAAGAAGAAAAGTTAGGTATGAAATGTTTAACAATCCTGTGAGATCATCCAAGTAATTTTGCGCGTGTCGCGCAAAATTCAGCAACGAGGCTCAGCGACCATCGGATAATGTCGGATTTGTCTGAACTATTTGAATAGATTTGATACAAATCTGTCAGAAAATAACTCGAATTTGCGAAATTTTAACCGTTGAGCGATGCCTGTTGACTTCCATATTCAGCTGCCAAATGCAGCGCGTGATCCCGGCATATCGGTCCAAAATTATCGCCATCATAATTTCCTAAAAATATCAGGACCGAAGATTGAAAAGTAAGTTTTACTCAAACATTTACCTAAACGAATGCATATCCAATTTCAACTTTCCAGGACAATTTTTTTTTCGAAGATTGTACCTACAGTTGGCTAAAATTACGTGGAGAAAGATAAGGGTGGTTTATCACGATAACTGGGATAGTTTTGTCGCCGCAACAGACAACACATTTTTCGGTCATATTATTAGTTGTAATGATAACCACCCGTCTTTTTTTTTTTTTTTTTTTTTTTTTTTTTTTTTTTTTTTTTTTTTTTTTTTTTGGGTCGTCATTTTTTAGAGGGAGTTTTTTAGGATTGGGCCGGGGTGGCTACCGCCACCTAGAATCGCTCGAATTTTTATACACTAACCTATTCAGGGTTACGTGTTACAACGAGGGTTTTCAACGAATTATCGCTCTGTTTTTCAATTTTATTGTATAAATGGCCGAAAATGTGCTGTCTGTTACGCTAACTTATACCGCATAACAGATGGCAAATTTTCGGAATTTGTATAATAGTAATAGAAAAGTAGAGCAATAAATCGTTCGAAAGCGTTATGATACGTAACCCTTTGAAGATTAATGCGAAACAATCCGAGTAATTATCATTAGTACTAAAGATATGATCGAAAAATGTGTTGTCTGTTACGGCTACAAAACTATTCCAGTTATCGTAAAACCACTCATAAGGACTTCAATGTCACCTGAAATCATTTTTCCATGTGCACTGGAAAAAAAACACATTGGATCTAGAGTCCAGACTCTTGAAAACATTGACAAAAAAAAGGACTCTTGATTCAATCAGATTTAAGATTAAATCAAAAGGAAATCCGCTCAAATTAAGAAGCTTGGTTCTTGATTTAAGCTTAAATTTGATGGAATCAAGAGTATTTTTTCTTGTCGATGTTTTTAAGAGTCTGGACTCTAGATCCAATGTGTTTTTTTTTTTTTTTTTTTTTTTTTTTTTTTTTTTT